AATGGACAGGTGAAAGTTGTCTTCTCTTGATCTTCAGGTGCTATATGGATATGGAAATAACCCAAAAAATTATCAAGGAAATAGTAGTGTGATTGACCTGCTAATCTCTCCAGCATTTGATCAATGAAGGACAATGGAAAATGGTCCTTCCTGGTAGCTTGGTTCAGCTTCCTATAGTCTATGCAGACTCTCCAGCTATTCTACACTCTTGTAGGAACCAGCTCCTCCTTTGAGTTCTTCACCACTGTTATTCCAGTCTTCTTCGAAACCACTTGCACCGGGCTCACCTACTTGCTATCTGAAATCGAATAAATTATTCCAGCAGCTAAAAGCTTGTTGACTTCTTTCTTGACTACATCTAAAATCAAAGGATTCAGTCACCTTTAGGGTTGCCTCACTGGTTTCACTCCCTCCTCGAACCGAATTCTGTGCATGCATGTAGAAGGGCTAATCCTAGGTATGTCTGCCAATGTCCAGCCTATAGTAAGACCGAAACTATTTGGCTTAGAATTCTATTTCTAGCTTAGTTTTATGTTCTCAAAGTGATTCAGACCAAAACTTTAAATTCAAGTGCCCACTATATACACCATGTCATTTTAGTTTTAATTAAGTCTAAATTCTAACTTAGCTTGTATTTTTTTAATATCTAATATTCTTAAAAAAAAAAGTATTCTCTATATTCTGTTTTATTCTCTTATGGGTCATGTATGAATTGCCAACTCAAATGCCCTAATTCTAAGAAACATAAGGAGAATAAGGTTGACTTACCAAAGGTAAAGTGAAAAAATAGCATCAACAACCAAGTCCATTAAATTTCTTACGCAAATAGCAAACAAGAAAGAGTATATTGCATAGGAAACCTAAACCAAAGCAAGACATATGTTGGTCAAATGTTATCTTTGTAGCTGCAATTTATTTAAAGGAGATTAAGTGCATGATGTCATAAAAATCAGTTCGTGACAGTGATGCAATTTGATAATGATTAGTTTGATTTTGGTGGCCATTTAATGAACCCAAAAATGATTTTTGTAAATTGATATTATATCTTGAATGAGTTTTGAAGATTAGCAGTGCTGTAAAAAAAATTATAAAAACAAGAAGACAAGATAGTATCTTGGTGTGTGATCCAGTACCATTAAAATTTTTTTACGGATACCGTACTCAAAAAATTAGATCAATAAAAAGAAAATACATAACAAATTATAAAAAATATATACTATTATAAATAATTTATTTAAAATTATATTATTTATTTTTTGGTCTTGACAAATATTTAAAAATTTTAATATAAGACACAATCCTTGTCCATCGTTACTCTGCATGTGCAATCGCCTGGTCATTTCTTCTCTGACTATGTAAGCTCGTCTCATTTCTAGTTTTGAAATAGGATTAACCCTAAACAGAAGATAAGTCCTTTCCAGCACGAGGAACCTTATAGCAATTAGAAAAATGCGGCTTTGGATCTGTCATCAACAATGAATCCTGTCTTATCAGAGCATTGGTTCCAGTGTCGGAGAAGTGGATTTAAAGCTGAGTTGAGAACTAGCGACTAGTGTTGAAAGATGGGATTGTTTACTTGGCCACCTCTTTTTTCCTTGTCCTAACAAATTATGAACTAAGGAAAACTCCTTTTCCAGCTCTGCAATGCAAGATCGACTCGTTGCTGCTCTACTGTGTAAGATCACCTCGTCACTAATAGATTATGAACTAAGGATTTATTTTTGCATTTCAATCGTGCCCAGTTCTTGCTCAAAGACCTAACTGCTCTTCTTTCTCTGTGCAATCGCTAGGGTTTCGAAATGTCAATGGATGGAGTAGAAGGACGACAAGCAGAAGGACGTGGGAACGAATCTAGTAAGTTAATTTCAAAGTCAAACTTGAGTAAATTCATGATCTATTTCTGCTTCCCTTCACTCATTAATCTATGCTCATTTACGTACTTGAGACTCCCGATATGTATTTCAAAATATCGCCATTTGTGGATGGCTAAAACCACTACCATGTGTTCCTTTTTGTATATTAACTCGCTACAATTTCTTCTTGCTGAAACCTTAATCATGTAATAGATAATGAAACAACTAATATGTGCATTCTAAGGTTTCTGCAGATAAGTAGTAATCATTACTTTTCTTTAAGCTTTTGAATTCTATTGTGACTGAGTCTGACAGAAAAAATTATTTTAATTTTCAAAATACAGTATTTATTTGTATGAGATCCTATAAGGTATTTGTCCTAGTGATAAGAAAAATACCAGCTCCTACAAGATGATTGTCCTTGATCATTTTTGTCCCAATGATAAGAAAAATATCAGCTCCTTCAAGATGATTGTCCTTGATCATTGTATAAGTATCTTGAGTTTCATAATCTATATTGAACAAGACAATGACCAGATAATATTAGATAATGTTATGAGTCAAAGTTAGTGATATATGAATTGCATTGTTTATTTATCTATTGCCGCAAATGTTGCTAATATTTAAGATTAAATACTTTAATTTGGTTCACTAGATTTAGTGTTGAGTGTTTCCTTGTTTAAATTTTCTTAAAGGTGAGATAGGTGGGAGACTTTTCCTTATTGTTATTGTCATCCCCTTCCTCCCCTTTAGGACTTGAAGTTGTATATCTATTCCAAGTCTGACTTGACATCTTTTGAGCAAAGCAAATTATATAAGCTTAGAAAATTCACTCAGAATAAGAGGATACTAAACATCTTTTTAGTCATTTTAATAGGGGGAGAAATATGCACCCTTGTAATCAGGAATCAGGATTTGACATGTAAAGAGAAAATGGTTTGCTATGTAGGTATTTGATGGACATGGAAGGAAGATTGCTGCACAATTTGTTTATGATCATCTCCCATGATTGATTGTTGAGGATGTTGACTTTCCTTTGGAACTTGATAAGGTTGTCACAGGGTCATTTTTGGAGACTGATGCAGAGTTTGCAAGAACATGTTTTATCGAGTCTTCCTTGTCTTCTAGTACAACTGCACTCACAGCAAATATATTTGGAAGTTGAATGCTTGTCTATACTGCTTTTTGGTCTTTATAACCACAACATAATCTTCACAACTCATATTTGTAAAATGACACACTAACCTTGAAGTTAGATGCAATGCCTAATAGCGCACAAGTTGTATAAAGATTAACTCATAGCATTTAGCTGAATTGTTTTGAATGGACATTTGATGAAGCTATTTCAGTACTTTAAATCAGAATTTCATTATCTTGTGTATAGGACTTTACTTGTAGCTAATGTAGGAGACTGTCATGCTGTTTTGTCACGTGGTGGAAGGGCCATCAGAATGTCCATAGATCATAGGCCATTATGTAGTAAAGAAAGAATGTGAATTTTGTCTCTGGGTTGATTCATTGATGATGATTACCTTAATGCGCACTTGAAGGAATGAAGGAGATGAGCGGAAAGGGTGGACCATTAAGTGCTGAGCCTGAACACAAATTGATGACATTGACCAAGGAAGATGAGTTTTTGATAATTGGCAGTGATAGTATATAGGATTTTTTTTCACAGCCAAAATGTTGTAGACTTTGCTAGAAGGAAGCTTCAAGAGCACAATGATGTGAAACAGTGTTGCAAGGAGATAACAGGGGAAGCAATAAAGAGAGGAGCAACAAAAAACTTGACAATTGTTATGATATATTTTAACCAGATCTCCCATTTTCAGTGGTTGTAGAAAGGCCTAAATTTAGAAGAAACATATATGGTGAGGGACTTCAAAATATTAAATGCTTGCTATAAGGATAGACCATTCTTGTCTGCAAGACATTATTTTTTTGGGCTAAGACTATGTACATAAATTCATCTATCACATTGAAAATAAGTGCTTTATTGCTTCCTCTTGTCACTTATCCTTGAGGAAAGAACACACTAAAATGCCAAATTCTAATAAAATTATTACTCAATGAATTAGAAAAACATAATAAGAAAAATGAAATAGTGAAGATTGTCTCCAATTCAATTAAGTAGCAAAACATCTTATATTACCTCTATGTTATATCCACTTTTTCCCATTTTCTTTATCAAACTTGCAACCCAAATTTCACAATAAATGTTTGAAATAACAAATACATTACTGACAATTATTTAAAGAAAAAATATGTAAAATTATTTTATTTATAACATACAAGCCATCTTTTTGCACACTTAATTTATGTGGTATTACAACTCTAAACTTTGATATAGTTGATCTCGGTGTCATGTCAGAGTCATAAAATGACTTGTGCCTAAATAGTTGTTGCATATATATAGCCTGCAAGAAACAAATATAACATAACTTAAATAGTCTCTATAACAATTTAACAATTCTTTAAAAAATAATTAGTACAAACGAGTAAAAAATATATTGTAGAAAAATATTTACCAAAATCTTTACACTCTCCATCCTTAAAGGGTCAGGGTAAGAGTCTAAATAAATAATCTCTTTAGATAAAAAAAGTCCACCACAAGCAAGAACCAATGTTTGTTGTCGTTATTAATCGGTACATATATCTAATATTTAACAAACTTTTGAAAAAAATATAAAGAGAACGATTAGGTAACAATTATGAAGGTTAAATTTTATCCCATTGTTAAAACCCATTTTACCTTCGAAAGTGTCAATTTTTTCCATGTATGACTCCTGGTAATAACTTCTAATTTGATCTGGGGTGTAGACCATGTGAGCACATATTGCTACAATGAAATATTTGAAATAAGACAAAATTATATATTTATAAAGCCATTAGAATTGCTATATTTGAAATAGGATGATATAAATCACAAAACATTAGAATTGTCAAAATAGGTTCCGAGTATGTTGACTTAAAATCAGAAATTAATTCATTATATCGGTATTCATTCACAACTCTCTCAAAATTAAGCATGAAATTAATTAGACTATTCTTGCTTTGAACATACCTCTTGATGAAGGAATTAATACCTTCACAAATTGAGGTAGTTCTAATACTAGCAAAAAGTTTGTCTCGCATGTATGCACTAGCCTATATATACTTCACGTCATACATTTTCTTCACCCACTTGTTGTTTACAACATCATATTTCTCCATGATCCTTATCCACTCAACCTCAAACTTGTCATGACTAAAGTTAGCATAAATCAAGGAGTTAAACTCTTCCAAAAATTTTGGATTCTTTACATTCTCAATGGCATTTTGTTGGATATGCCATGAATATAGTTGATGCAAACAATTTGGGAATACAACCTTAATAGCTTCTCGTATTGCCCCATCTCCATCTATGACAACTGCATTAGGGTGTTTGCAAAACATTAACTCAAAAAAGGACTCCAAAATCCACTTGTATGTCTCAATTGTCTCATCTGAAACCAATGCACAACCAAAAATTGTAGTTTGTCCGTGGTGATTGTACCTACAAAAAATAACCAATGGCTTGTTGTACTTGTTCTTCTTGTAGGTACTATCAAAAGCCATAACATCTCCAAATACTTGATAATCAAAGCGACTCCCACCATTTGACCAAAACAAGTGCTCTGGTCGTCCATCAACTGTTTTAGTATGCTTAAAGAAACACAAGGGATCATTCTCGGTCTTGGACTACAAATAGGATAATGCAGCAACTACATCACCATCTTTTACTCTACCCTTTTTTTGCTTATCAATGTGATTGTATAGGTCTTTCTTTAGAAAACTAACTCCCGCATGTCCACCATTTTGTCCCATCATCTAACCAATTATATTGCATGTTCTAACAACATGCAATTGTAGGCTATCAATTTGGGCTTTATCACCATCACTCATGCCTCGATATTTAGGCATCATGTGTACAAATTTTAGTGACGTTAACTTATAGTTGTGGATCTCCTTAAAATTTACAACTTTCTATTTACCAGATGGGCAATGAAGACTAATATGCATCATGGCTTCACAGAGCACTCGAGTGATATAGGCTCTTTAGTACTTTAATCCTTCCTCTCACGGTGTTTCTTGTGTCTCTCACTCGCTTTATTATAAAGTAATTGACGTGAGATAATATTACATTTTCTATCACAATAAACATCATCTTTTCTTGTCTCAAAATCCAAACAATGAGCATACTTATCATAAAAATCACATGCTTCCTTTTCAAAATCAAATTAAAGGCCTAACATATCATTAGTTGTCAATTTTGTTATTTTCTTGCAAGTATCATCACAAAAATGCTTGTCATTATAATCCTTCACACAAGCAGAATTATCATAATCCAAATTATTAAAATGTTTGTCATCATTCCAATCACCATCATCATTCAACTTAACACGATCATCTTCACTTAGTAAGGCCATTTTATATAATCTATTAAAAATAATACAAAAAATTAATATGGTAAAATAATAAAATATGTCAGATAATAAATACTCTAAAAGCTCAACTCATTTAGATATAAATTATCTTGTTTGGACTGATAGCTTTCTTCATCTTTTTCACATTTTCTTGAATAATTAATTGCAACCAATGTCAATTTTTTTACAAACTACCTCACAATAATTGAAACAATACAAAGGTATAATGCAAAGTTTAAGATTTTGTACGATTAACCTTATGAAAATAGTGTATCGAATATCGTTATCTTGCATTAAAACTTCCAAAATAACTAATCATGTTTTAAAAACTCATTTAGAAAATTTGAATGCGAAAATATTTTAGAAAATGAAAGAAAGTAAAATAAAATAAAATAAAATGAGATTTGATGAGATGTATCGGAGTGAAGGCAATTGGCTCCTATACTCTTGTACAAATATTCATACAACAGCCTTAAGAATAAAAAAAATGAGAGAAAATGTTTGTGTCTTCCGAGGTATAGATTGAAGAATCATAGTGATTGGTCTTATGGGTGTGAACCCATGTTTGATGTTAATTGCAATAGAGATAAGTGTACTTTCTTAAAGATAAGGGGTGTTGAGCTTTATGGTTATGATAATCATTATGTTGAAGTTAGTAACTATAGTACTTGTGAAAAGTTAGTAAGGGGTTTTAGCATTCATATGGAGAGAAAAAAGGGTTTTATAGGTGCTATACCAAATCACAATTGCTCAATAGACGACACACACCGATGTTCTGTGGAACAACGTATTTGAAATTGCTTAAAAGTAACTTCTCTCAAAAAATCTGCCATTGACACTATGTATGAACATGTTTGTTTAGTTCAACTACAAACTTTATAATAAAGCACATGCAAGCCATTTTGTGAAGGTTTTTTTGTGGTTTGCAACCACACTTAGAGGTCTTGAAATGGTTTGTATTTCTATTATTTGGTGTTTTCTAATTAGGACCAGCTAAAAGTCTAGTGCAGATCAACAAAGGTATCATCTTACAGCAACAAGATTTAGAAAATTTAGCTACTTTAAGCTAAAAAGGGCAACAAATTAAAAGATTGGAAGAGGTGGAGGTGGGCTTATGTACAAAGGTCTATTGTCAGATCAAAGACATGCACTAGTGAAGAGGCTTTACAATGCTAAACAAGGAGAAGGGGAGTTTCTTGCTGAAGTGGGCATTTGGAAGGCTTAACCATATAAACTTGATTGAAATGTGGGGATATTGTGCTGAGGATAAGCATAGGTGATAGACGATGCTGAGTCGCTATCAAAATAGTTAAGTTTTCTAAAGATTTTGTAGTATAGAGCCAAACCTAGGTCGATTCACGAAGACAAATTCTCAGTCAAATTAAATTTTAGGTTTTCTTTTAAAAAATGCAAATAAGGTTTTTGGAATTTTGAAAATTGCAAATTAATCAAATTGAATTACAAACAGACTAAAATTGATTAAAAATAAATTAAGAAACATCAATCCACATAATACTAAATGCATGTAACTCCGGCTATCACAGTATCTAAATATTTAAATCTGCCTTTGAACAATCACCCAATTCAATTATTAATTCAATCAAATAACATAATTGAACATAGTTACAAATTAAATCAAATAATTATTTAACCTAATTTGCTTTAATTATTAAATTAGAGCATCAATTGAGTCCTAATCTGAATTCTAACAACAAAAATTTAATCACAATCGAAATACACAATTCTGAGATTAGAGAGAAAAAGAGAACAAACTTGGAGTAATTTAGCGCAGAACTCAAGTCGTAATTATAGCATTTGGATTCTGTAGATTGAACAATAGGTTTAGCCTTCTATCGAAGCACTTAACCCATGTGAGAATGAGAAGAGAATGAGAGTATTTGAGAGAAAGTAAAAATAAGGATTTTTATTTCAGCCAAATTTCAAAAAATCAAAGTGTCTAATCGCATCCCCTAAATCAGAACCTTATTAGTCTATTTATAAGCTTTGATTAGGGTAAACTAAAATGCTAAAATTCGAGCCTTAATGATAACTACAAGCCAAATACAATTATCTAATAACAAAGGGTTTAAATGCAATCTCGCAACAATATTCAGCAACTCTACCTCAACTTTAAAAAATTATAAATAATTGAAATTAACTCTAAATCTAGTGATTCATATATGCATGTTGAAGCCTTGGATGTGTAGAATCTAATGCAATTGGAATAATCCAAAAATGATATCTATAGAAAAAGTTATGGCCGAAAGAGTAGTCAAAGATTAGAATTACTGAAAAATACAAAATTAAAGCATTTATTTGTAATAAGCCTAATTTATTCCAATAAGTAAAAAATGGTAAAATATCTAAAAATAAAGCATATTAAAAGTGTTTATAAACTAAAATAAAACTATAAAAATAAACTTAAAATATGTCACATCAACAAGTTATTGATGTATGAGTATATGGAAAATGGTTCTTTGGCTGAAAACCTCTCATCTAATACTCTTGATTGGAGTAATAGATATAAAATTGGTCTTGGTATGGCAAGAGTTCTCATATCTACATGAGCAATGCTTGGAATGGATTTTACATTGTTATAAAGCCACAAGACATACTCCCAGATTCAACCTATCAACCCAAATTAGTAGATTTTGGATTGTCTAAGCTCCTCAACAAAAATAACCACAACAATTCAAGCATCTTTATGATCAGACGAACAAGAGGTTATATGGTAACAAGAAATTCTAACCACAACACACCTCCATGATATAATAATAAAGTGAAAACAAATTGAAAGAAGAAAAAACAAGGACAATATCAAAATAATAACAAGAAACACTAGTTAAACCATTGTATAATTGCAGCCTTGATATTTCTTGGTAACTTTCTAATGATAAAATTGCCAAAACTCTTTTCTTAATGGCCTTTGCCAAAACTCCCAAAACGTCACGGTGATTCAAATTAGATCAAGAAAGAAAATTCTACCTCAAGTGTGAGAGTGAACTCAGATGAAAACAAATTCGAGTAACCACAGGCACCTGCAAACAAAAGAAAGAAAAATGAAATTTCTGACAAAAATAGGAGAATGAATACAATCAAAAGAGAAGACAGAACAAATATAGCTAACAAAAGTTTGGGATTTCTAAAGAAAATAGAAGAATGAATACAAAGCAGCAGTGAAGAGTGACACTATGAGTAAGAAACAGACTGACCTCGCTAGTGGAATTAATGATGTGAAGAGATCTCAACTGGAAGACTGTGGAAGAAATTAGACTTATGAACAAGAGATAGAACCTGATGAATGCGTTTCCTTTTTCGATCTTTTTGTTTGCAGTTTCTGCAACTTCCCCCGGGTGAAAGATCAATCAATTGGTTCGCTCAATCTGGAATGGAACTAGATAATATGAAATGGGCTTTCAACCAAGATAAGAAAATGAAGGTGCTTGACAGAGAAAGACATGAGGCAAAACACAGAACAACAAGAAAAAAGACGAAGTAACTGTTACAAAATAAATTTAAATTTTATTTTTAATTAATAATATTGTTGAGGGACTAATTAATAAATAAAATAAAATAATAAGATATAATAATTTATTATTAAATAAATTTATTAGTTATGTACATGTTTAAATATTATTGGTTAAAAAATTTTCTGTACCATACCCTAAAAATTTTTAAGAGTATCACAAAATTTACCCTTTTTTTTTTTTAACTAAAGGGAATAAAGAGAGAATCAAGACGCATGAATTTATCAACTAGAAGCATAAGAACCACTCATTTTTCATGGTACAACCATATCAAAAGGCAATGCAAGTCTTCATTTATTCTTATATTGATCTTTATATTGCTATTAACCTAAATGTTATGAAGTTATAAATTAAGAAAGAATTTTGTGCCGATATTTAAGATTACTCATTTGAAATCAAAGCAAGAAAAATACCAACATTATGTTGATCGAAAGGGGTGAAGAAGCAAATGGAACATAAAAAATGTATGGAAGGAAATCAATTAAAAAGTTGTTTCCACATTTTTTTCTAAAGATTTACTTTATTATTTTTAAGTTACAAAAAGTCCTTATTCAGTCCTTTCCCAACTTTTTGGAGTGATTTTGGCAGGGAGAAATCCCTGTAAAAGAGTGAGTGTACACGAACAAAAATCAGAAACTGATCTCCTTCATGAAAATGAGAATTTGATTATTTGAAAATGTGTAACACAAACTGAGAGATGCTTGAGTATGTGTTAGTTAATTAGAAAGATTTGTAAAATTTAGAAAAAAAAAATTGTTATTATTTTTTTAAATATTTTGTTTTGCTTTTAATATAACAAATTTTTATTAAGATAAATATAATTGTTTACAATAGAATTATTTTTATTTTTATTTTTATTTCTTAAACTTTTTAAAAAAAAATTGTTTTATTGTTTAAGTATATTTTATTTTAGCCTATACAAATTTATTTTAACTGTAGTATATTGTTTTGAATCATTTTAAAATATATCACATACTCTTGTTTACATATTACATAATTTTTTTTATAAAAGTATTATCTCTAATTTTAATTTTTTACTAATTTTTTATTTAAATAATTAAATTTTATATGTTAAGTGTATCCACGCATGTACGTGTGTATGTATACGCCGCGTACAAGTATGAAGGTATATATTTAGATGCAAATATATATGAAATATTTATTTGTATTTAAATTGATTATATTAATTATTTAAAACTAATTATATTATCCTATTAATGTTAACTAGTTACTTAGCTATAATAATTAAATAATTACTTAGCTAGCTGATTAGTTTCAAAAGCTGTCAGAAATAGTCATTGAGATTAATTAGCAATTTGTCAAGTTTGGAGTTACTCTACATGTGGAGTCTTGTGTAAAGTACGCATGGTTATATCATATCACTTAATTACCATTTGACTCAATGACATTAAGTTACGTTCTCTATCATTTCTTCGCCATCTTCTCTGGGGTTTGATCATTCTTTCACTGTTAAGATCATTATCTAATGCTTTTGTTGCTTTAATTTATAGAATTCTTAATTAAGTGCGATTTATATAAATGTTTTGATAATCATTTTTATGTTTTCCTGTCAATTCCTTGGGTTTGAAAATTTTGAGATCAGTGTTATATTTAGCAACTGAATATTTTGAACCCTGACTCATACTCATACCAACATGACCAAAAACAAATAAAATAATATTCTATATATCTTTATTTGTGTGTTTTTTTTTTTTTTTTTTCAATTTTACATCACTAGTTATGGCCCAAAATTAAAGTTTAACCTTGAATCTGTCTCTTTAATATAGATCAGCTATGATTTAATTTAAGTCTTTTAAATTTCTTTCTTCAAGTAATTTAATTATCTCAGTTTTAAAATTAAATAAATTTTATCTTTTATTAATTTTTTTACTTTAAAATGTAATTTTACTCAGTTTTTTATAAATTAAATTAATATAATATTTAAATTATCTTTTAAATCACACTAAACCACAGTATCAAACTACATTCACAAAAACTCATCAAACTCTGATCTCATATCCTATAAAATCATTTAGATTTTATCAAATTTTTACTAACTTTGTTTATTCTTAACTCTAATTATTTCATATCTCAAATTTATCATAAACCTGTAATGTTTGAATAATAATAACTTAAAATATAATAAAAGGATAAGATTAACTTAATTCTAAAAGTAAAAAAATAATTAACTCAAAAAAAATAATATAAAGAGACTTTAAATTATATACTAAGCAACGGGATACCGTTTTATGCGTCTCAAGACTCCACCGAAAGGACTTCATAGTTTAACGACTTTCCAAATAAAATACCCTCTTCTTGTCTAATTTCTGATTTTATAGATGATCAGTAGAAAAATCACACCACTCCTTTTTCTACTCATTAGGTAATTAATCCTACACAACCCAAATTTTGTTGATGAAAGATTTGACTTTGGAAGGGCTCTACAGTACCCCATTGCAACCCTTAGCCTTCTCTTCATCATGCATGTTGTTCATTTGGGCATTGAACTTTGGGGGAAGTTTGTGAAGCTCACGTAGAACATTTGTGATGTCAAGCAGAAGGTGTTGAACAAGTGTGCGAGAAAACTCGGCTCTAATCACAACACGAAGGACATTGATGTGCTCAGCATCGGGTGGCATTGAATAAGCGGGCACACACCAACCATGGCGACGTAACATGTTTGATATCTCAAACTCATCGTGTAAGCTTTTGTCCCTAAGACAAAATGCCACCACAGGAACTCCGTTGTCCTTTGAGAGTATGTTAAAGCATCCAGTTTTCTCCAATCCTTCCTTCAGCATAATGGCATTTTCTCTGCAATTTTCCATCACATTTCGATACCCCTGCGCAATTTAATTATATTGTGCGCAAAAATGTTATATTGATGCATGGTTCACTCATTTATTTTAAGGATTGTAGAACATATATGTACTGAGTTAAAATTTATATTTTTATCTTAAACTTACCTCTTGTCCCAGGCGAATCAGCTGATAATATTGAGCAATAATTTGACTAGAACCTGCATGTGTCAAGTTAAATGGTAAACTATATTTTAAGGTCAAACAAAAACAAAGGAGAAAAAGAAATTATTAGAGTAAATATATAATTTGAACTTGAAAGTGGATTATGTTTATTTTTTGTTCTTCAAAATTTTATTTCATACAATTTAATTCTCAAATATGTTATAATTTATTCATATTTTAGTCATTCTCTTAAAAAATTATAGACAAAATGAGAATAAAATATAAGTATAACTAATTAACATATTTAAAGAATAAATTATATATATTAACATTTCTAAAAATGAATTAGTCTCGCAAAAAAATCAAAATAAGAGTAAATTAATATGTTTAAAAATGAAAGTATATGTATAAAGCAAATTTTTAAAGATTAAGATAAATAAAATAATATTTTAAAAGACTAATTTATGCATTTACTTTGATTATCAATTAGAATGAGGGAAATGGTGTTGTGACCTTTGGAGAAATTGAGGGTAAAAGTGGGCTGGTCAGCACCAAGGTAATTGATATGGAAAACAAGGTCTTGAGGCAAGTCATTATTGCTCCTCCAAACAACCCAACCAATTCCAGCATAGACAAGACCATACTTATGACCACTAACATTGATGCTTTGCACCAAAGGGAGTCTGAAATCCCATTCAAGCTCTGGATATATGAAAGGAGCGATAAAGCCACCACTTGCGGCATCAACATGAATACATGTATCCCATCTACAAAACGGCACCTTATAATTCTAAAAAAAACTAGTTCTAGCCAGAAAGGTAAAAACTAAAAAGGAAATAGTCGATCCCATACATTAACTACCAAGTGGTGTTCAATTACTTACCCAGTTCTCTTGTTTTTCTGGAGCAGAAGGTCGTTTAAGAGCTTGACATCTTCGAACTCTCCATTATAAGTAGAACCCAATATTGCCACCACACAAATAGTGTTCTCATTCACCATCTCAACGGCTTTTGCAGGCTCCATCACATAGCACCCTTCCTTTACCTTCACCTCCTTCAACTCCACTTCAAAATACCTTGCAAATTTTTCCCAACATACCTATATTCCAAATGTAGCTCAGTTGTCAAGACATAGAAAGATTGTTCATGAGTTGTGACTTGAAATACTTTGAATACTGATATTAGTTTTCAGAAGTACTTCTAAGTCCTTGACTATTTTATTAGAATTAGAAAATTAATTTTATATTTTTATTAAAATATATATTTCAATATAAAATTATGATTGAAATTAATTTATAAGTGTTCAATTATATTTAATAATATAAAATAATTCTATTAAAATTAATTTTATTTAACTTCAAATAAACAGACTCGAAGTTTTGGGATGACAAAACAGGGAACCAACTTCTCAGGTACTGTAACCACAATCATTATTTATTTTATCCTTTTTTTTTTCTCTCACCCATTTTTGACAAATTTGTGGCTAATTTTTATGCTCTTGGGGTTTCATTTTATGTTTGCTCTTATTCTTTTTTTGCAGAGAAAATTTTAGTTTCTGTGTTTTTCTTTTGTGTATTTTAGTAATTATTATTTTTACCTTCCTAAATTTTGTTTTTATTTTACACTTTTTTATTTCTATATATCTTTCTCATCACACCACTGATTATGTTTATCACTTTTTTTTTCTTTTTCCTTGTCTATCTCTACAGACGTTTGTAAAAAAATATTTTTAATAATATAAAAACTTATAATTATCTATACATTAATAGTGGAGATAATTCAAGTTACCCTCCTAACAAATATTAGTGATAATTACGCCAAGACATTGTTATTATTTTTATGCATTAATGCTTATTTTTGAAAAGAAAATACATAATCATTCCTTAACTTTATATCCGAATCATATACACGGTATCTTCAATTAAAAGAAACAAAGAGGCGTGTCATTAAAGTGTATTTTTCGAATCAATGAGAATACAATGTATATACTGTTAAACTTAAGAGAGGTTAATGTCATTATCTTTAGCTACGTAGGATCTAATTATTTTTTTGCTGTATATATATATAATATAATATAATGTAAGAAGGAAGGTGGAGACATACGTGTACGTTAGAGCCTGTGACGATGTTGGGCCTGTCATAGGGTTTGCCATCAGCCTTGCGTTTGTTCTGCCACTTCTTCTTGAATGCAAGCCCAGCTAACATTATGGCCTCAGACGACCCAACAGTTCCTGCTCCAACTGCACTTTCATTTTCTCCAATTGGAACATTGAATAGACGTGCTATCATGTTCACGCACCGGTTCTGTTTGTAGGGTAAATTCAAAGGTAAATTTTGTGTTACCTTAAAAAAATTTTAAGTATCAAACAGGAAAGATTTTCAATTAATAATACTTAAACATATGTTTAAGTGATAAATATAATAATATATATATTTCTTATAACTTGATACATGTTTCTTTTTTATTGATATAATTTTTTGAGTATAGTATCTATAACAAAGTTTTAAAGTATTACAGCATACACCCTTAAAATAATCATCAATGACTTTCATTTGTTAGGATTTATTAGGACATGATACGTTTTTGAAAAAAAAAATTTGGGTGCAGCTCATAAATTGTTAATTCTATTCCTAATGTATTCATTATTATTTGAAAGCATTTTGAATTGAAAAATAATATGTGATCTTCTCCCAGTTATGCTTCTCTCTCTTCGTAGACTTAATTATTGCCTAATATAATAACTAGTAATTTACTCAAGTTTACTTGGACACCAAAGTAACTAATTTCTTATAACTACTTTAATAAATAATTTCTCTGTTAAAAAGAAAAAAAAAAGTAATTATCAATGAGACACATCATAAATGGCCTTCCAAAATAAAATATGGCCTGGGTGCGCCTATTCGTATATTCATATAGTTAAGTTAATCCTTATTGTATATATCATCATGTGTGCAAGAAAAGAGAGAAATTAAGTTAGTACGTGGAGTTCATTGGTAACAGGATACTCATCCATATTGATGTAGTTTTTGTTGATAGATTCCATAATGAGCTTGTTGCACTCTTCCTCCATGGCTGTGGTGACAAAGGAAGCCATATTCAACTTTGGATTCCCATCAAGCAGAAGCTCGTCGTGTATGTTTTGGTATACTACCTCCTTTTGTGTGGACCTCTCTGGCATCCTCAATCTATATCACCCAAAACCCTTTATTAATTACTCGCTTACATATATTGGATGCATACACAAAGAAGCAACTCAAGAGAGCTAAAAAACTATTAAAAATCACATTTAAATTGTCTATATTACAATTTATATTTTTGTTTGAGAAAATCTATACCAATGATAACAATTAAGTTTTACAATTAATCATTAATATATATATATATATATATATATATATATATGTGTGTATTCTTTTTACGGTTAATTACCTTGGAAGTGAATTTCTGCCAAAGTGAGAAGCCAAGTTAGTGAGAAAGAAGTGATCGGGGTTTGAAGCTTCTTGCAAAACCATGGCTAAGTGTTTTCTCTAGAGAGAAAAGGGATAGTGAAAATGGATAAAGTTATAGGCTGCTGTGCTTTGTGTGGTACTGAGGAGTGTTGAAGGCGCATGGGTGGTATTTATACTTAAGGGAATGAGGCATAAAAGAGGAACATATTCGCGTTTGAATGCATCTTTTTTATTATCTGACTTTGCCCTACGCGAATGTATTCTATTCATGAAGGGAAATTTCTCAGCATTTGTTACATATACATTGGGTTTATGATATATATGCTAATTTGAGAAAGAAAATGGAAAAAGGTAATCACCCTCACCCATGTAGGTAGCATTTGGGGATGATTGAGTTGGATGGATACAAATTCTTGTGAGGCATATGTTGGGTTTAGAGCTGTCAAAACAGGCAGCTCAGCTCAACAAGGGTAGCGGATTCAAACGGGTCAAGCTTAATTAACTCAAGATAAAAATGAGCTTATACTTTTACTGTCCAAGCCTTATCCTATGCGGGCTAAGGGCTTCTGTAAACTGGCCCAACAACTCAAATAATTTATTTTTCTTATTTTTGTAACATATCATTTTTTTACTATTTTTATAACAAAAAATTATTATTTTTATTGTTATTTTTAGTGTTCGTATTAGGCTATTTTAAGTTATTTTTGTAAGAGCTTAATATATCACTAGTTTTTTTTGTTCAATTTTTGTATTAGACTATTTATTTATTTATTTTTTAAGTTTCAAAAGGCCACTAGTTCTTTTTTTTTTGTAACATTCATTTTTTTTATACACAAAATAAGTCTACAAAATATAAATAAGTTCATAATTAAACAAATTTCTTAAAACAAAAAGGTTCATACACATAAAAAGTCCACAAAAATATAAAACAAGTTCACAAAGATTAAAAAAGTCCATCAAAGATTTAAATATCAAAATTAAGAACATGAAACTTCTTGAAAAAGTTTAGAATCATCAAGAGTAATGGTCTCTTTTCCATTAACATCATCTTCATTATCAAATTCTAAAAAAAATTTGACTATATTAGTAAATTTATATAAAGTTAATTTAATCTAAGATATGACAAATTTGTATTCTAAGAAAAAGGAAAAAATACCTTCAAAGCCATATAACCAACTACGTGTACACAAGAGATGTGAGCACAACATCTTATGTGGAAAAACTCTGCATTAAGTAACAAATTATTGGACAATACTAAATGCTCTTTCAAAAAAATTTGCATGTTGTCATTTGAAGATGCATTGTCTAATGTGAGAGAAAAGATATTTTTTTTATGCCCTAATCTTTCAGAAATTCCAATACCTTCAATGTCAATTCGTGTCTAGTGTGTGAAGGTTTCATGTGAGCAAATGCTAAAATTTTACTATTCAAATTCCAAGTTGAATCAACATAATGAGCTTTTAAAGAAATGAAACCATGATTGGTGCATGCAATCCAAACATCAGAAGTCAAGCAAACTCTCCCAGAAATACGAGCCAATTACAATTTTAACTTCATTTTCTCAACTTCATAAGTTTTCAACACATCACATTTAGTAGTGTTTCTACTAATAGGGATACAATCTTCATTTAAAAACTTCTGATACTTTCTAAACTTTCTCCACTCAACAATATTAAAAGGAGCACCATGCTCAATAATCAACTCAAAGGTAATTTGAGATTAGTAACAGGGTCAAATTTTCTTTTTTGCAATCTTCCTTGTGTATCAATTATCATTTTTCCTACATCTTGAAATTTAGGAATTAACTTACAACCGTTCATATGAAGTTTTAAATGAGTTGTAACATTCTTAGGGTCACACCCTAATTTTTTTTCCACATGCCTTGCATTTACACTTTAGTTTCCCATCTTCAACACTAATTTTCATAAAATAATTCCAAACTTCAAAGGTTAGAGTCTTACGCTTTTTGGTTTGTTTTTCTAACTTTGAGTCATTAATTTCTACTTGTGAACTATTTAAATCTAGTTGAGTTTCAGGTATTAGATTGCTTTCCAATATTTGACAATCTTTTAAATTTTTCAATCCCACACTAGAATCCATTGACAAATTACAAATAATTTAAAACTTATTTAGCTATTTAACCAAAAAGAAAAATTTTAACAACTAAATTAGAATGAGAAACCAACAAGATAATGAATTAATTAAAAATAAACAAATCAATGAGCATCAAGCCAAATTAAATTTGCCTAAAAATAAATAAATATTTATTATGCAAATAGAATATTGGAATGGAAATAAATTACCTTGAATGGAAATATTGGAATATTGGAATGCAAATGCAAATACGATTTGCAATTACAATCTCCGTTCAGTGACCAAATCATGTGGCAATTGGAATTCAAATGTTATTTGCAATTTGTGTTCAATGATAGAGACAAGTGGAGTAGCAGTGTAAAAGTAAATAGTTGAGACGTTTTGAAACTAAAATATATTTCTTTCTAAACTCCTTAAAACTGAGAGTTTAATCTCAATATATATATATATATATATATATATATATATATGTGTGTGTGTGTGTGTGTGGGCTGCCCAAACCCGCATGGGCCAACCCGGTCAAAGTTCTATCAGGTACCGGCCATTTAACGAGTTTTTTGGCCCAATTCATAAGGCTGGCCCATTTTGCTGGCTCTAGTTAGGTTTTCTAACAATTAATAATTGTGCCTAACCACATGCTTCTACCCATATAGAACCAAAATTACAACACAATTATAGATCAATTTTTATGAATCCATACTCCAATTCATGATGAAAACAGAATGAGGAAGCATACTTAAATTTGTCATTGGGAATAATGAAGGTGATCAGATTAACAGTGGGCATATGATCTTCCAAATGTAGAGTGCCTTAAGTTCCTTTTTCAAGTTTCTCTTCTAATGGGGATGAAGAGAAAAGAACAAAATTGGTTCTTTGTATGTTATGTAACTTCCTCTACAAATGGGGATCATAACCCATTAATTTAACTTCTGTCAGTTGCATTTCGAATTTAATATTTTTAATTTAGCCCCTCATCAAATCAGAATATTACTTATGGTATCTACACAGTAACATTTTATGACAATTATGCCCTTAGTCATAAACTCAATATTAACAAACCACTTTATAATTTTGGTTGATCAGATAATGGCCCCTAACCCACTTAAATAATATATATGTGACCCAAAATACTAACAATCTCTCACTGGTCACATATGTATCCTTATAAATGTGTCAGACTTTATGAGCTCAAAAATTGCCATTATATACCTTGGGCATATCCAAATAATCTCATCTATTAGTTATATCAGTACATAGAACCAAAGCAGTTTTCATTATATTAATCATAACTAAACCTATTAATAATTACTAATATTAACACAACCAAAAGGCACAAACTAATCATGAAATATGTAGCATGAAAATCACATGAAGGTAGCCTGTACATGTCAATTTTCAACTAGTCCTACTTTATCTTAGTCAGATCATTCAACAACATTAGTATACAAAGTGTAATAATTGAATATCAAACTTTATTTTGATCAGAAAAATATCCAAATACAAGAGTGTGCATACATAATACTAAATATAGAACGTAAAATACATAAATGACTAACTCTCACTAAACTAAAAATTTCTCAAACTGTAAAACACCCATGCGAGCAGTGTGCTCATGAAAGACCTTGGTTAGAAGACCCTTCGTAAAAGGATCCGCTATCATGGAGATTGTCCCTATGTGTTCTATGGAAATCTGTCCACTTTGTACCCTTTCCTTAACAACTAGGAACTTGATGTCAATGTGTTTTGACTTGGTCGAGCTCCTATTATTGTTGGAATATAAGACAACTGATTTATTGTCACAGTATAACTTAAGTGGTCTTTCAATTCGTTCCACAATTTGCAGCCCAGTGACAAAGTTCCTCAGCCAAATCCCATGATTAGATACCTTACAGCATGCTACAAATTCTGTAGCCATAGTAGATGAAGCAATAAGAGTTTGCTTAGCACTACGCCAAGAAACGGCACCACTAACTAATAGATAGATATAGCCTAAAGTGGATTTCAAACCATCCTTAGATCCAGCAAAATCAAAGTCAGAATATCCAGTGATCTCCAATTAGTCTGACCTCTTATATGTGAGCATATAATCCTTTGTTCTCTTTAAATACCTCATAACCCTTTTGGCTACTTTCCAATGATCCATTCCTGGATTGCTTAAATATCTGCCTAATATCTTAACTATGTATGTTATATCCGAACGCGTACATACTTGGGCATACATCAGACTTCCTACAGCTGATGCATAGGAAATCTTCTGCATTTCCTGAAATTCTAAGTTTCCTTTTGGGCATTGATTTAGACTAAATTTTTCTCCCTTAGCAACTGGAGTATCACCTGACTTACATTCCTGCATGCCAAATCTTTTAAGTATCTTTTTGATATAGCTTCTTTGTGACAATCCTAGAGTACCCTGAGATCGATCTCGTGTATCTGAATTCCTAATACAAAGGAGGCGTCACCAAGACTTTTCATTTAAAAGTTCTTGACAGAAATCTCTTAGTTTCGTGCAACATGCATATATCATTAGTGGCAAGTAGTATGTCATCAACATATAAGACTAAGAAAATGTACTTGCTCCCACTGAATTTGTGATACACACAATCGTCAACAAGATTCATCTTGAAACCAAATGAGAGAATTACTTGATAAAATTTATAGTACCATTGACGAGATGCGTATTTTAGCCCTAAATGGATTTTGTCAGTTTCTAAACCATATTCTTTGGGTCTCCCGACACAAAGTTTTCCGGTTGCACCATATAGATTGTTTTATCAATGTTGCCATTGAGAAACGTCGTCTTGACATCCATTTGATAGAGCTTCAAATCATAATGTGCAACAAGAGCCAAGATTGTCCTAAAAGAGTCTTTCCATGAAACTGGAGAGAAAGTCTCTTTAAAGTCAATCCCTTCCTTTCGGGTATAACCCTTAGCCACAATACGAGTCTTATACCTCTCCACATTACCTTTAGAATCCTGCTTGGTCTTAAATATCCATTTGTAACCATTGGATTTCACA